ACCTGGAGTGGCTCTTGGGGCTTATATTGAATTAATATTAGTATAAAAAACCACACATACTTCCTAAGAATATCTCTGCTATCCGGTTGGTTAAATTTACGTGATGTCAGCTCTTTTTGGATTATTTAATGCTGACTATTGTTTAGGAGTCACCCAGTGCGGATCAAATTCCCTCCTCCGTGGTAACTACCAATCAAACTAGTTTCGCGTATATAATTTTGTTGAATCTAATATACCAAAATCAAACAAGTACGGAAATTTTTAAAAAAAACTAGGAAGTGTTTTAACAGAGGACGAACAGTGTGACATTGGAGTTCGAAGATGTACCTTGAAAAACCAAAGATGTCTTCCAAAAGCTAAGCAGAGTATTAAGAAATAGAAAAAAAAAACTTCGCTAGAAACAAAGAAAAGATTACTAAACTGTTACATGATCATTGTCCTCCTGTATGGCAGTCAGTGCCGGACAGTCTCCTCAAAGATGAAAAGAAACTTGAAACAACAGAAATGTGCATTATTTACATTATGTTCGAGAAAAAGGGATACAGTACAGTGCTTATATTCCGAAAGTCTAGGTAACATAGTGGAAAGTGATATTTATTTGCATGATATACAAAATGTGACACAAGGTCAAAATGGGGAATGGAGAAAACAACATTAAACTTAGCCAGCCACAAACACTGACCCAGACATACAAACAATATTCTTAACACCAAAACAACGCATTCTTACTTACCTTTCTTACTACACCTACCATTGTCTCTATGAAAATCCTAATTAATCTTCATATATACGTAGAGGAAAGTCCATTAGAACAATTACCATGAAAGTATTTATAAAAAAAAGACACAGGGAAGCAAATTACGGCGGTGGGAATATGGCTGAAGCCGAAATGCCGGGTCAAGACCAATAACTTTAAAGAATCTCCTTTGTATTTTCTCAAGAATCTCTAAATATATAGCAGGAACACCAAACCAGATGTGATACTATCGGCGAATGGTAGATTTATAAATATGGAAGAGAGATTTGGACGAGAAAAAAACTGTCTAGCAAGCCACAGGGAACTTTCTTTGTCTTCATATATGTCCTGTGAGTGGCCATATTTAATGATAGTCCATTAAAATTTTAAAACGTTGACGTTAATCCCCTGTAGTTGATCACTAGCCCTGTGATGCGGGTACCGATATTTCGAGCTAAACTTTTCTTTTTAATATACACCATGTAAACCATCTTATCACTCAGTTATGTGTCATGCATGATACACGCTTAAGCGATAATGTAGCTTTCGATACATGACTGGCGAATAAGATTTTTTCCCGCGGTAGGTTGCCATTACATTCTGCGGTAGACCAGTTGCCATCCGAGCCTACAGAACCCGGTCTGTCCTGCTATTTACCCATAGCTGGCGGGGAGAAGAAGAGGATTTATACTTTCACAAGAATAATAGTACGTAAGTTAATGTAATAGATTCGACCGGAATTGGAACCCGGCTCTTCGATTCCTCAATCCGAGCCGCTATCCATTACGCCACCGTCTTTGGTTTAATATACACTAGCCCTGTGATGCGGCTACCGATATTTCGAGCTAAACTTTCCTTCTCATCAATCATTCGAATGAGATATGACCAAATTCCACGACGAAGAAATATTTGATTTGATTCAGACGGTAAATCAAAGTTAAAAAATATATTTAAAATTATCATTAGTCAATGAATTAAACTTTTTGTTAGCAAAAACAAACCTTTTTTCTCAGGTTCCGATGACTCAAACTTTGATAGCTTTACGGGCTTATAAATTTATTTATTTTATTAGAGAATAATGTCATGCTTAAAGGCTTGTTATGTCTATGTCATTTGGTGTTTATGTTTTCCTCCTTTGAAATGTATTTTGCAAAGTCGTTTTAGTTTATTAACATTTTTGAACGCGCAGTTAAGTGAGAACAAAGTATGCAGTGAGATACTTACTTCTAGGTACCGCCAAAATGGATGCCATTTTTTTTCGTGACGAAGGCATAAATAAATAAATACGCTAACCTGTGTTAAAAAAAATTACAAAAAATCCGCAAAATATCTGAGTTGTATGAAATGTTTAGCATTTATTGAGTAACGAGTGAATTGTATGCTGAATAGGAAATTTTATTAAAAATCTTTGTAGAATTATTGGGAGATGTTAGTTACTACCACATTTCAATACTTGTGCTACTTTTAAAATTAGAGCGTGATGGCAAATAATTTTTATAATTTTATAACGAAATAGCCCTGAAGATATTATTTCGGTAAAAAAGTATATTAAATATGAAAATTTTCAAAAAATTGTCCTGAAACTTTATAAAATAATTCAATAAGACTTAAAAAGTAACTTTTATTCAGAGCTGGAGCAATTATAATTACATAAAACACATTTTTTTCATACAGATTTGACAATGAAAAAAATATACAATGAATATTTATTACTTGCATTATTTACATTATTCAGAAAGCTATCTTCATCTTCATTGCCATATTCACAACGTTTTGGCAGTTGTACGCTCCGGCCTTCTTCAGGTTACTGGATATCTGAGATGAGGTATTATGATTACTTACATATATTTACATTATTCGGACTGTTATCCTAATCTTTATTGCCATATTCACAACGTTTCGGCCGTTTTACGCTCCGGTCTCATCTCAGAGATCCAATCACCTGATAAGGCCGAAGCATATAACGGCCGAAACGTTGTGAATATGGCAATGAAGATGAGGATAACAGTTCGAATAAGGTAAATAATCAAGTAAACATAATACCACATCTCAGAGCTCCAATCACTTGAAGAAGGCCTGAACGTACAACGGCCGAAACGTTGTGAATATGGCAATGAAGATGAGGATAACATTTTTAATAATGTAAATAATGCAAGTAATCATGATACCACATCTCAGAGATATAGACGGATATAAAAATTTAGTTTTGAATAGTTTGCTTCTAATTTTTCAATGCGATTTTAAAATTTTTCCGGCTGCTGAGGACAAAAGAGATACTTTTTTTTATTAAATAAAGATGAGTTTGACGAATCAGAAAATGTAAAGTTTGATGCCATTTCCGCATAGCAGAAACACCAGACCTGATGTGACAGCGATATTCAATGCATGGCCGAATGGTTGACTTATAAATGTGTAAGATAGATTTTGGCGAGAAAATATTGTTTAGCACGACACAGTGAACCAAGTTTCCTAACAGCAGGCGTAACAATTGATTCACTGTAATAAGAAGCGGTAACGTTATTGGTCATGACCTGGCATCTCGGCTACAGTTACATTCCAACCAACGGAATGTAGCTTCTCTTTGCCTCTTCTACAAATATTTCTACGCTAATTGTTACTTTTTAGCCATTTCACTTTGAGCAAGGCAATAAAACCACTAAGACGCAAGGGAGTTACTCAGTGTAAAAGAATGAAATAATGAACAACATTATTAAACGTATAGAACAATAACAAGATAGGATAAGGATTTGACATTGCATTTCAATTTTTGAATATCAAAATTTACTGGAAAGCAAGAGGTCGGAAGAGATTTCCAAAAGGGAGATGTGCGAGAGAAGAAAATGTTAGTATAGAACTTACGGTTACATCTAGCAATTTCAACTTTAAAATGATGAGACCTAACTGCCAATCTAGTACCACGTTTAAGTTCGTAAAGTCGATGTACCAAAGAGGAAGGTTCATGAGAACAATTGTCATGAAAGTATTTATAGAAAAGACATAAGGAAGCTACCTTACAGAGGTGGGAAAGTGGCTGAAGTCGAGATGTCTGGTCAGTACCACTATCATTGCAGATTGTTCTTTGGATTTTACCAAGAATCTCTAAATATTTAGTAGAAACACCAGACCCAATGTGACAGCAATATTCAATGCATGGCCCAATGGTTGACTTATAAATATGTAAGATGGATTTTGGCGAGAAAAAATTGTTTAGCACGACAGTGAGCCAACTTTCCTAAGAGCAGGCCTGACAATTGATTTCCATTTCCATCCTTTCCATTTCATAACTGTGGAAAGCCTTAATTTGAGAAGGCGCAATGAATCACTCTCTTGGAGGTTAGAATCAGCCATATTATTGGAACGCATAGAAGGTTCTATAAGAGCATTGAAAGTGAAAAGTTTCGTTTTAGTAACGTTAAAACTAACAATGCATTTCTTGCTCCAGTTAACAATAGATTGTAGGTCATTTTAAAATTATATATATATATATATATATATATATATATATATATATCTGATATTGAGCGCTTTCTAATAAGTACCGCGCATATAATATATAAATAATTATACATATATATTTATTTATATTTATATACACACACTTTTCACACACACACACACACACACACACACACACACACACACACACACACACATATATATATATATATATATATATATATATATATAAATATTGAAACATTATCAAACATTGAAACGATTTCAAAATGTTTTTTTTAAAAATTTTATGTTTTTATAAAAATTTTATATATAAATATATATATATATATATATATATATATATATATATATATATTCTGTTTATACATTATTTTTAATAGGTACACTTTATTAAAGTAAATGTCCATTTTTTTTTTTTTATAAACAGTATTAAATAGATTTACCGAACAGAAAATATATTAAATAATTGTCAGGCTTAATACATTTCATATTATGTTGTCAGTGTTTACGTTAAGGTACGTTTCGTGAGCAGATATTATCATTCAGGAAAGATCGTCGAAGTTTTGTTGTTTATAAAAAATAATTTAAACTTTGCTAACCAAAACACTTCTCTGTAGCTGAGTGGTATAGTATATCAGATCACTTCTATAGGACACAGGTTCGATTCCTGTCGGAGAACGCATATTTTCTACGAATATGCGTTGCGATGTCTTGTTATATGAAGTCAAAATCTAATAAAGCTGTAAATATCCCAAATGACTTATCTCATGAATTTTCAAATAATCTCAAAATCTAGAGATGATGTTTCCCGATTAACTTAAAGTAAAGCGCAAAAATTCTTGTCTTTCCCGTTTTCAAATCGATCATTTTCCTAACTTTTGTTTTAAAAAAAAAAACACAGAAAAAAAGCAACTTTTAAAGTCAAAAAGAAATTAAATTTGTGCAAAACAAACTGATTTTATCGCGCAGTATATTCAAAGGTCAGGGCGAGCAGTGTTAAGAAAGCAGTTACAAAGTGGAAGAGGAGTAGAAGGAAGAATGGTTGATAAAGTGATATGCGTTCATCAAAAAAATGAAGTCTATGGAGAGGAAGGAGATGGAAAGGAAAGATGATCAAATTTCGGAGAGATACAAAATGTATTGATTGGTGAATTCGTCATTTTTCTGAATAGTTGGTATATTTAATTATTTAAAAATTTTTTTTTTTATTTGGATCTTTTTTTTCTGGTTCTTTGTTTCATCCATAGTTCGTACGGATCTATCGAAATGTTTCGTTCTTTGTTCATTTTTAGGCTTTGTTACTATCTATCGTTTATTTTTCTTCTTTAAATTTCACTTTCGTTCTTTGTTGCTTTCATTTGTTTTTCTATCTATCTATCTATCTATCTATCTATCTATCTATCTATCTATCTATCTATTATCAGTGTGTTTATTATCTATCTATCTATCTATCTATCTATCTTTGTTCATATATATTTATCTATTCTCTGTGTATAATCTATCTATCTATCTATCTATCTATCTATTATCAGTTTGTTTATTATCTATCTATCTATCTATCTATCTATCTATCTATCTATCTATCTCAGTTTGTTCATATCTATCTATCTATGTGTGAGTATATATATATATATATATATATATATATATATATATATTTTCAGCCTCACTAATGCGCTGAATAATGTTTATTTTTGTTTAATTTTTTGCTACTTAGCTTTTTCCTTTTCTTTCCTTTCTTCTGAAAATGAAACGAATAAATTTCCTAATCCGGAGCCTGATGAGTTGTTACAAAAATTTACAGAAGAAAAACAAAAAGAAACACTTCAGTGTCTGTTCAGAATGAAAGGGGGAGAAATGCGCCTCAAAGCCGAACCTGTGTATCATCATCACAATCATAATCACCATCGTTGTTATTGTTAATTACTTATTGGAGAACACTGTTGTGTAATGCTGAGGGGTCTCATATCATAAATTATTGGTGGCGATTTCGATCCTTATTGGAGGCTTTTCAAATGAGACGTTGTTGTTAAAGTAAACCAAAGTAGATATATTTGTTTCAATATCTACGTGATAGCTATAACCATGTCCAGAATCCAAATCATATTTTAATTACTATATCACATCCAGGAAATAGCCCGATACAGAATTTTACACGATTTTAGATCACGCGATCTTTTCATAATATTATCACGTTTAGCCTTTCATAGATGAAAAAATGAAACAAATTAAGTATAAAAGAATAAAAAAATAATAATAATTTTAAAAATAGAGTAGTGTAACTACTCGTTTATTCTTTTCAATTTTGGATTCGTAAATTTTGTTCCCACTTAATTACTATATCACATACAGGAAATAGACCAATACAGAATTTTACACGATTTAAATTATTACAAATTATTATAAGTAAAAATTTTTAAAAATGAAAAAATTCTTGTAAAAATTCATTATTCATCGGAAAATTTTTATTTCTTCAGACAATAGTGCCCTTAATATAACTTATTTACAAAAGCAATTAAAAGCTTTTCTAATTGAATAATGCCATAGTTTTATTGCATTCATTATTTTTCAATTCAGATTAGATTTTCAGTTGAAATACTGCAAGTTTGAAAAAAAATAGGTGATTTAGATTCTCCAAGGAGTCCTATTTTTAACAAATAGAAAACAAATCAGAAAATAGTAAGTTTTTTTTTTTTTTCGAAATTTCATGAAATTAAGTAAGTTGAGGGGGTAACATATGTAAAACAAAAATATTTTTACCAAAATTTTCTAAAAAGAAATTTCAAAAATAATTGCATTCATTTGTGAATAATTTCCGAAAATTTCATTAAAATCGAACAATTATTTGATTTTTACAAGAATTTCCAAATAAATGTGTTTTTGAACGGAAAAAAGCGCAAAAACTTAGTGTTAGTATTATGCCACCGCAATGACGTAAACAAAACAAGATCTTAATTAAAATTTCGAACGTTTTAGAAAGGATTAAAAAATGTGAAAAAAATAATAAAAAAATACTTTAGTCTTTCATCTTAATAATAACATAAACATTTTGACAATAAAATTTTATTTTTATTAAGTTTGTGGCTTTTTATGCCGTTTTCCGCGAAAAATTGGAGGTACCTATTCTATTATGATACTAAGATTTTACTAATTATTATAGATGCTCTAGAAATATACATAAACATTTCCCTATTTTCCTTTTTCAGTTTAATTCTTAAATTAATGAGTTCTACGACAATAAAATATCCGTAAAAAGTCCCTTATTTTATCGTTAAATATTTGAGCTTAACAACTTTAACGAAATATTACAATAACAATCATAAATGCGGGCAATTATTTTAAGAAGTAAGGGGGTACAAATAAAAAGATTTTAAAATTGGCAACTTTTCCGTTTTGTTCAAACTAATCTCAAACACATGAGTGTTATCTGCTCTTCTGTCTGTCTTTCTTTCTTTCTTTCTTTCTCTTTTCGTTTTTTTCTTTCATATTTATCACTGAAATCAAGTACCTTCTCTGATATGTCATTTTCTGTGTTTCCACGCGATCAAAACAGAATATTCCATTATTTATGAGGTTTGGGCAGGAAATAATGGAAGGACAAGCAGAATTATAATAATTAATCAATTAAAATCGATAAGTGATTAAAATGCAATTAAAATAAACTACAACAGGAAACATACCGAACATACATTTAAAAGCTTAAAATATTTAAGAGCTTAAGACATTTAAGAGCTTAAAGCATTTAAGAGCTTAAAGCATTTAAGACCTTAAAACATTTAAGAGCTTAAAGCATTTAAAAGCTTAAAGCATTTAAGAGCTTAAAACATTTAAGAGCTTCAAACATTTAAGAGCTTCAAACATTTAAGACGTTAAAACATTTAAGAGCTTAAAACATTTAAGAGCGTAAAGTATTTAAGAGCTTAAAACATTTAAGAGCTTAAAACATTTAAGAGCTTAAAGCATTAAGAGCTTAAAACATTTAAGACATTAAAACATTTAAGAGCTTAAAACATTTAAGAGCTTAAAACATTTTTGAGCTTAAAACATTTAAGAGCTTAAAACATTTAAGAGCTTAAATTTTAAGACTAAGCCATAGCACTTTCCCGCTTTCTTGACAACCACGCGCATGATTTGACAATCTTTTCATTCTTTATATCAACTGTTTTAATAAATCCTATGATCTTGTCGGTTACATGAATCATTAGAATTTCTTTTAAATGTAAGCAGCTCCTAAGAGTTGGATACTTTGAAGTCATCTATTATTATTATTATTATTATTATTGTTTTCTTTGATTTCTGGTGTGTACACATTTTCTTTCCGGGTCCCGCCATGAGACCTAAGATCAGGCGTCAAGCGTCATGACATGCTTCACAAAAAACAAAACAAAAAAAAAAAAAAAAAAAAACACATACACACACACATATTTTACACAGATATACCCTTCGTGTGAGCTGTACTCGTGAGAACAATTTTTTGTATTTCTTTAAGGCATGGGCTTCCAGGAATTCCTTTAATGCGTTTATTGGAATCTTTTCCAACAAATTCGAGTGCTCCAACTAAAACAGGAATTGTTGATGTTCCCATGTGCCACATTTTTAAGATTTCGATTTTAAGGTCCTTGTATTTTGATACCTTTTTGTAGATCTTCAAAGATACATTGCAGTCAGCAGGGACTGCCATATCAATAAGGAGTCACTTTTTTTTGTTTGCAGTCTCTAATACCAATGTCTGGGCGGTTGGCCTTGATTTTTCTGTCAGTGTGTATTGTGTAGTCCCATAAAATTGTAACAGGTCCTATCTCCGTAATCAGGTCTGGGTGGTGCTCATACCAATTTCTTTCAGTTTCCTTCCTGTAGAAGCTGCAGATTTTCCATTGCAGATATTGGCCCACTCTGTCATGTCGGGTTTTATATTCAGTGGGTGCCAATAGCGTGCAACCTGATACAAGATGATCAGTTATTTTCGGATATTTATCACAAAATTTGCATTTTGGGCTAACACTATATTTTAGTATGTGTGCTTGATAATTTCTCGTTAACAAACATTGGTCCAATGCAGTAAGGATAAGACCTTCGGTTTCAGCTTTTAACCCTGTACTACGTAGGCATTATTATTATTATTATTATTATTGTTATTAAAAGAGCAGCACATCAATAAGATGACGCTGGCGTACAGATATACGGAACCCGATATGTCCATTTCGACACTCCGTCTGCTTAGAAGGACTCAATTTGAGAGAGTTTCCAAGTTTCTCGACATGACTTACAAGACGATTTGGTTGTCTTATTCTTCAAAGTTATTTAAAAAGCAACAAACCTTTCTTGGGAATGGACTATGTTACACGACCTGAAGGTATTTCTAACTGCACCCAACCTGCAAGGTTATGCTCAGCTTTTATCAAAATCTGTCACTATATCGCGAATATTTGATGCATATGTCTGGGACACTCTTATCAGACTGGGTGCCAGGGTGGATGCATTGGGTTTCGTGCATGTGTACCTCAGCGTCACTTTGATAACGTGATACATTCTCACTCAATAATAATAATAATAATAATAATAATAATAATAATAATAATAATAATTTAGTGATAGAAATCAGTAGACTGTGGCATTTTAAGACAACAACATTACCCGATGTCATTGAGGCGTTGGGAATATAAAAAAGAAGCAAACAATTATGTGGATCAAATTACTAGTAGCTCAAAAATATGTAAATTGAAAAAAAAACCTACTCAAGGATATATCTCACATCTTGTGTAGATTGCTTTCCATACATTTACCAAAATTATATTTTTTTCTATGATTGCATGGCACCTCATCTATTTGCATCTTTGATGTAAAATGTTTTTCTCTTGAAGTCGCTGCTTAATTCTTGTGGCCAACTTACATTACATAAAGCAAAGGAAAAACACAATAATAATAATAATAATAATAATAGTGTAGGAATGGATGTAGAAAAACAAGTAAAGTACACTACATCGACTGAAATATACAAATATACTTAAAAAAGCAAGCAAAGACAAATGCAACCGACCAGATACAGAAACGATGGCAAGATAAACCGCCCGTACCAAACAAGCTGACGTAGACAAACCACGTACCCATTATGTGCTTGCTAACTAAAAATTACCAAGCACACAAGGAAAAATCGTGTTAGCCCAAAATGCAAATTCTGGGATAAATATCCAGAAACAATTGACCATCTTGTATCGGGTTGCGCGGTATTGGCACCAACTGAATATAAAACACGGCACGACAGAGTGGGCCAATATCTGCATTGGAAAATCTGCAACTTTTACAGAAAAGAAACTGCAAGAAATTGGTATGAACACCACTCAAACCCGGCTACGGAGATAGAACCTGTAACAGTTTTATGGGGCTTTAAAATACACACAAACAGAGAAATCAAAGCTCATCGCCCAGACATCGTGATAAAAAAATGGTGTTTTTTATTGATATGGCTATCTCTGTAGTTTGTGATGTATATCTGAAGATCTCTGTAGTTTGTGATGTATATCTGAAGATCTCTGTAGTTTGTGATGTATATCTGAAGATCTCTGTAGTTTGTGATGTATATCTGAAGATCTCTGTAGTTTGTGATGTATATCTGAAGATCTTTAAAAAAAAAAGTATCACAATACAAGGATCTTGAAGTGGAAAAAATTGGCACATGAGGACATCAACAATCCCAACTTTAGTAAAATCTCTCGGATTGATTGGAAAAATTCCAGTATACCTATTGAAGGTATTCCTGGTAGCGCACGCCTTAAGAAATACAAATCACAAGTACAGCTCACACATTACAAAGAGCTTTATCTATGTAAAATATTTGTGATCTTAGTTTTTTTTTTTAAATTTAAAAAAAAAAGTAACGATCAGTGGAAGATGTCCTGAACCCATTTCTGACCTTAGGTTTCTGG